CACCGTCTATAATGTGCCACAGAATCTCGTAAAGTTCCGTGTCGAGCGCTTTGGCCAATTCGTCATAATCGTCATCGCTAAGCTTGTTTTCCCTGGAAACATTTCAGTAATTTTTCAAACGGAGAACATTCGAATTCTACAGATCCTTATTAATGTTAAGCAAAAGATAAACTGTTTATTCAAATGAAAGTAAATTTCAAAAATTCGCATCATAAAAATGTTATAAATTATAAATTATTCATGTCATCTTTTGAAGAGTACTGCATGCAGCAATAAATCGCACGTGCTAAGTTTGTTCGTTGATATGAAATTCTCAGCCTGTTTCTCAAGTAGAGATAGCCGATCGTTAATGGAATCATTTCGATCTAAACCATCGATCGAAAAGCTGTTTTGTCCAATAATTGTGTTCAACGATGGTGCCATATCCAAATCGAATGAGGACTTCAATCCTGAAAACTTGAATCATTTTGTCTAGGAAATATATTTGTTCGATTGCACCCAAATACAGATAATACACCCCAACATCGAATCTGCTTTGTAGCACAGCTGTAAAATTGCTCTTCTGATGCGAGTGTGACGATATGACGATGCGGTCGTCATATTCGAGCCATTGGAACAATTCCGAGAGAAATTCAATGCGAAGCGTTGGAAATAACCTTCGGAAATACTGTTACTATCTGTGGACGTACCGTCAAAACGCCTCATCGATTCATCGTATTGATTCGAATGAACTGGTGAATGGATGCCGTGGTGCATCACCTGCTTACGGTACTCAATCGGACGAACAGGAATTTCGCTGTCATCGAAGCGATTGCCTCGCAGCGTTGACTTACCGTACGGTTGAGTGCGATGGATGGGAGATCGACGGTAATCACCATCGGAAAACCCTCCCTTCCTGACAATACAAAATTTCAACCAGAACAAACTTTGGAACTCAACGAAAATTTAGTGGTTTGCTATTGGCACATAATCATGAGTGTACATTTATTTCGGTTGTTTCATCACGAAAGAATTGCGAGAAGTTTGCCGTGATCTACATCAGTTTAGTTTTATCTGCGAGCGAAATGTTGTAAGTTTGAGTCTAGTAGAAAACAGTTTCGTTGCACTGCAATGAACGCGTTTAATAAATAATCGCAATCATAACCTTAAAATCATCTTAAGTTCAGCATCTAAATCGTCTTCAGTCTTTGACATCAGTTCTTTGAAACTTTTATTTCCGAAAAGTGCCTCTCGAACTGCAACCAAAACACTAAATTATCATGCATCCTTCTCGATTTAAATCGAAATCAAAAATNGAAAAGTGCCTCTCGAACTGCAACCAAAACACTAAATTATCATGCATCCTTCTCGATTTAAATCGAAATCAAAAATTTATTTGAAATTGGTTCGAATTCGAAGTTTTTTCGAGAATTTGTAGGTGATTAACTGATATAAGTTCGATAGTCGATCACAAGACAAACTTCATTGCCCTAAAATTATTCCTCATGTATTCACATACCGAATTCCTCGAATTGTTTGTCTATTTTATATGGGACAATTCCACCAAGCCAGATCGTGTCTGGAAAGCTCAAGCTTCCAGACGACTGCGAAGCATTTGCAGACAGGTCAGGTCGAGCGGACGTATGATATCCGATCGGTAATGCAGCGGATGTCCCGAAAAAGCAAAACAGAAACGCTCCGAGCATTATTTCCCGTCTCTGAAGATTTGGTCTTAAATTCATTCCTTTAGCAGTTCTTCGCATTCGATAGATTCATCGAATAACTTTACATAGGATTCTATGCAGTTTTTAGTACTTTCATAAAATTCGATAGCAATCAAATTTGCAGAAGCACTGATGAGGTTGCATCGTTTTTACTTTTGACAGCATTCAAAAATCTTGATCACTTCACTAATTTATATCTTCATGTGAGATAGAACATAATGAGAAAAGGTGATGATTATAATCGCGAGAAGGTAAGCTAGGTTATTTCATATGTTACGCAATAAGGCGATTTCAAAACATTTATGTAAAAATCAATCATCTCTATTTTCATTGCAGTCATCACGTTCGATTACGTTACTCACAGTTATTAAAACAAAACTATAATAATAACAATATCAGAACATTTGAGTGA